GTTTTTATTTCGATACTCGTAGTTCAGTGTTTAGTACTGCAGGAGGCGTAACAAATGTACAATACCCTCTCCTGGAATGGAACCCTGGACATAGGAAATACGTGTCTAGTGTGCTTCCAGTTACACCACGAAGGCATGTCAAAAGGAAGGAGAAAATACCCTATAGTATCTACCAAAAATATCCGAAGCATCAAATGTTGACAAAATGTGAGCCAGGTCCGCCAGTGATTAGAATATGCTGCCTTGTAATTTATTCTAAAAGAGTATTTCTCAAACGTTTCTTAAGTGGGGACTACTTCTACAGATTACAATGTTTTGTGAATAACTTTACTCTTTTTTCCTTTGAAAGCAATTTTTTTAGCATTTGTTATTACCAGCACACTTATATTTTTAAAATGGTATTAATTAAAATTCATTTGATTTTCTATTGGTATCAGAAGAAAATTGATATTCATTTTTAATAATTCAAGATAATTAGAATTTGTCTAATTTTTATCTTATTAACTAACAATTAAATAAATATTAGTACTCCATTAATATGCCTGCCGATTCTTGCACATCTCATTCGTGCTTAGAACTTTCGTGCTGGTTATGTTCGAGACTGGAACATGTATCAAGTCGATTTCTACGCTTTGTTTTTACTTGAGTTAGTGTTAAAACGCCCCTTTTTCACACATATATGCAAAAACTGAATTATAATGTTTAAAACACTTCTATACGGTTCACTACGTTCCGTTTTCACTACTAATGAGGTCCATAAGTTAACCATTCTTTCTGCCAGGAATTTCATTTCAAATCTAGGGAGATTCTAGTGTTCAATTCTCATGTTCTACACTCCTGTCTGAATTTATCTTTACAACTCGAAAATAATGGTATCCCATGAAATATCCAATCTATACAATCTATGTTTGCAGGGAATGTATGAAAGATACATCTAATTAGCATCATCCAATCAAAAGTGATCAAACAGTATCTGGATATGCAAATCAAAGAGTTGCGTCTATTGCTCGGCAAATGCTTTTCTCAATGTAAATATGAGTTGAAATATAGCTTTTGATTTCAGCGTGTGAGATCTCAAAACAGTTTGTTATGGCTTTGAATTATCATTTGGAAGAATCTGTGACGGGATGAATCATCGGCCGTTTAGAAGCACGGCAAACAATCATGGAAGCAGTGACATGTGTGAATACTTCAAGACAGACAATCTGTAAGTTATGAAACAATTTCAGAACTCTGAAACTGCTGTAAGGAGGTCTGAAGTTCAACTGCGTCATACTCTGAATATTGATGAAGTTTATGACATCCAGCAACTCCTTCGATTTGCCGTGCAGATCGAGAAGTATAAGCCAAGATTCACTGTGTATCAATGTTACAACTGCCAAAAAATTGGACATTCATCTGATAACTGCAAACTCCCCCCCCCCAAGTGTGTGAAATGTGCTAAAAACCACATCTCTGCGGAGTGTGATCGTAAAAAGACTGACGAACCTACCTGCAGCAACTGCTCAAAAAACCACGTTAGTTCCTATCGTGGTTGTGAGTATTTTCGGAAATTTACGAAAAATCCTCATCCTTCGCATGCAAGACCAGGCGTGAGTTATGCTGACGCGGCTAAATCACAAATTCCCCCTGTGCCTCGAACTCCTAAAGAAACTGATGATACCCAGCCTCAACAGATTCAAGACATCGGTTACCCTGCGAAAGAAAGTGATTTTAAATCTATATTGGACCTTATGAACATTTTCAAACAGATACAAGAAATTTTCAGTAACGACTGCATTAGAAAGTTTGTTGCAGCTTTCAAAGAAAATCATCACCACCTTCAAGCAGCCCCTAGCAACCCCGAAAAACTACTAATTCTGATGAACATCTTTCAACTAGCAAGCGACTAAATTTTTCACCGTACAACTCTTTTTATCCAGGATCATGAAGCCTTATTGCAGCGTTAGCGCCGATAAGTTAAGCAGCAGGCAGCAGGGACAGGACTTGGGTGGGTGACCACCTGAGAACTCTCCCGTGCTCCGCCCACCTCGTTCTCTATTCGTCCTTACGGGAGCACCGCGGCTACTGGCTGGCGGATAACTTTTCCTCCGCGACTTATTCCAGAAAGCATTTTCAGCTATGCATTATTGTCTGGGCATGTTATTTGTCCCTACCCATGCTAATCTTGTTTCTTTTATCATACACTGTTCTCTCTTTTAGGAACTACCTATGCTATGGTAAATCAGAAGCTCGAAAATCGCCATCACATGTTATTCTGGGATAGCGCAACCGCGCGGGGGCCCGTTTATTGCGAACTGCGTTCGCCTGAGTCGTCTGAACAAGGTCGTAAGCAAACAACAGCTGTTTCTCAGGACAATAACCCTCCCCCCCTCGTAACAGGAAGTCTATTGCTCGGCAGTTAAGTTCAGTGCCAATGGAACTGTTGTATCACGGTAAACTGCATACAAAAGGCTTAAAGAAAAAGGTCTTTATGCCAGAAAAGCCAAAGATATGTGTTTCACTGTCTTCACAACAAAAGAGGGATTGTTTTAATTGATGCAAAGAATATCAGAACTGGAGTAAATACCAATGGTCCCATGTTCTTCTTATTGCTGAATTGGGGTTTAAACATCTGATTTTACCAGTCTACACTTGGAGGGAGTAAGAAACGCGAAATCTCCTTCCGAACATTTATGGAACATGACAGTTTCGATAATGCAGCTGTTATGGTATGGAGAGGAAAATGACCGATAGATATAAGGTCCTACAAGTAAAATCTCATGATCTTAACTCGCTAGAGAACTTATGGAACTACCTTGGGAAAGCAGTTGCACGGAGGTATCATTCTCTTAGAGGTGTAAGTGCTCTGAAGACCACACTGCTGGAGCAGTGGAACTTAATTCCCCAAACAGTGGTTAAGAACATTAAACGCGAGCATGAAAACATATATATGATATGTGTGTACAAGTCTGAGGAGATCACATTTAATATTGAATTTATAAGCGTCAACTTTTCTAGAGTTATTCTTTTTTAGAACCAAATTCTTGTGATATATTATTATCATTTTTATTGTTTCATGCTACAGTTTTATATCATATGTAGTGCTCTTAAATTTTTCTTTCGTATTCACGTGTTATGATGCGTATCATTCGCTACAAATTCATGAAGTTATAATTTATAATTTCTGAGAAATCCGCGATTTCATGCATGTAAAATAATTTTAGATATAAGTGTATTTCATTCAGTGTCAGTTTGTTATTTTCAGTATCGCAATTAAAAGATCGCGAACCCATAAAAATTCATTGTACTCACCACTTAAAAAATAAATTTCAAATTGTGACATCAGACTTACGAAATGCAAACATATGTCCATTGCATAATTCTTTCCCAGTAACGATTATATTTTCTACTGAAAAAGATTCTAAGGTGAGAAATAATAAACAACCCACAAACCAAGTTTCCTCTCAAGCCCCTTTATATTCTAAGGGGCCCTGAGAACAGTAAAAAAATTACCTTGTAGATAGAAAATTAATTCATTTTGTTTTGTGAGTGCATCTGGAAGACAGTCATTGTTCTTAGGCACATGTCATCGCAAGAAATTATGTATTAATTATTACATAATTAATACATAATTCATAATTATAATTAATACATATTCGTCAGTTTCGTTTAGAAATCTCAGGACGTTTTGAAAATCTAGCAGGACCCAAAGACAGCTTTTAAAGACCACTTATAATCCGCCAACCACAGATTGAAAAATACTGCTATAAATTATAGTTTCTCAAAGTGGGTATTCGACAGCATCGCTCACCAATGGGCTTTGAGGAGCCTTATGGAGTGTACATTACAGAAAACCCAGAAAAACAGCACAGAGTCATTGAGAAGCAAGTGGGAAATAAAAACATATTTGCCAAATTTGGTTACTCAGAAACTTCTGGATTTTGGAAATAGTATAATCATCACAAGAATTAAGCCAAATATGTTAGTCGATTGTTCACGCAAACAGTTTCAAATTTTAAGTAGTTTCACTCTTTCCTTCCCCTTGCAATGGATTGGAGGTTTAAAAATTATCAGTTTTATATTCTAAAACGTGATCACGAAATCCATACTTACAGTGATATCTAGTACGCTTAAGTACCGGGTTCATATAAAATATACCAGCTCACCTGCTGTGATAGGATCCTGTGCGTGTTTAGCAGATTTATTTATTTCCTACTGCTATTTTTTTCTATATTCCTTTCAATTAATTTAATGCAATGTAAATACAATAAATGCCTATAAGGTTTTAGTTTCTTTTAGCCAGATGGACTGATTAAACACACATCATTGCTGCAAGGGAAGAAGGCATTGAGCAAAATAAACCTCGCAAAGGGGCCAATGGACAAAAAAAAAGATTGGGAAATTATGCTTATTTAGTACAATAATCATTAACGTGATTAAACTAATCACTTTGATATGCGATTTCTGTGATAGATGATACATTTATTTTTAATTAATTTTATCTTTAATTAAATTAAATTTACTTAGATTTCAATGATAATATCTTATGCTACAACGGAAGCTTCAGCCTCTTGTAAATCGAATGTATTCCTTCTATCTGATTGGTTCGAATTACTCATAAGTAAATTAGAAACTAAATTAATGTTAATGCATTATTTTTCATGTCAACCATCATTTTTCGTGTTGATGTTCAATGAAAGAGTTGAGATTAAGCATGTTTTAATCACACATCTTTAAAAATAGAAAAAAAGGGGGAATGTTTAAAAAAGATTTTATTTATCTGGTAAGCAAATTAATAACTGCACAACCATATCTTAGAACGAAGAATAAAAGAAAACAAAACGCTGGAGAACGATAACGTCATAAATTACATTAAGAATGGTAAAGCCAGTTTTTGTGATAAAAAGACTTATTTTTTTTTATCAGTAACGTTGCAACGTTGTTTATCAGCAACGTTTATGTTTTGGTTGGTCGTTGCATGCAAAATTATTGACAAAAATATATTCTTTTGTTTTCAGTGTCAAATAATACATTAAATTCGTCCTCTCATTGTGAAAGAAATAGTAATGAATCTACTTCAAGCCATACAGAATTCACTGATGGAAGATTGTTTTCAGCTGAAGAGTAAGTTTTTCGAATTTTATTGCGTTTGTTAACATATAATAAAAGGATAGTATATAACTTTATATAATATAGTGTAGAATATTACGTAATATATAGGGTGTTCACAAATTTTTTTAACCATTTTGATTTTCAATAATTGAATTTAAATATTAATTTTAAAATACGAACGTGACTGGCATCAAATTGGAGAAAGGTTTAATTATCATCTGCAGCATTAAAAATATTCTTTTCTTTAAAATATCGCTGGAAAATAAACAATGGATCGAAGGCTATATTTTTGCGCTGTCCGAAGAGATATACTGTTATTAAATTATTAAAAAAACATGTTAAAACATGGTTTTAATATTTCTACACGTAAAATAAGTGCCATAATTAATATGGAAAGAAAAAAAGGTCAATGTTTACACCTGCTGCACGCATTAACTGGGAGCTCTTTTATTTGGTGACGCCGCACTGAAGATGAAATTCAGCGAGAATTCGAATGAAATTTTAGCTAACTGCACGATCTACTTTTCACTTTTGCGAAAGTTTTCATATCACATTTCTGCAAAGCCCATAGTGGCATAGTGGGAAATGAAACAGCGGTTTCTCTTGCTAGTTCAGTTACTAACCCAACAAGTGAAATTTTCAAGATTCTATGGCCAAAATCTTTCTTGAGAAAAAAATTGAAGAACTGAGAAGTAAAAATCACAAGAAGAGTGGGACCATTCTTAACAACGCAAACGTCTTCATAAAATAATCCGGAAAGTAAAAAATGCTATCAAATTCCAATAATCCGTAGAATCAAGACTATCTTACAGGACACGGCCTCTTCACCCTATATTTTAAGCCAGAAACATTTCCAATATAGGGATAGGCATTTGGGGGAATAGATTCAATATGACAAAAGATCACAACGGCAGAAATCCACCAACAAATACGCAAGCATTCAAAAAATATATCATAAAAGCAAAGTAACCAAAAAACAAAAACAAAATATACAAAGTAATTCAATACCCTCGTGTACAATCTGCACAGGTAAGTCACAAAATATACAAAGTAATTCAATACCCTCAGAGCATGGGTACAGACTGCACGGGTAAGTCACAAAGAAGACAGCAATATAACGAAACAAATATTTCAAATTAACAAATATGTGATTAAATTATATACAAATGATTAACATGTTTTGTTTTGTTTTATTAACATGATTAACATGTATACAAAATTAAAGTTTCAGTGAAATGATGGGTGCGGCTGGACTCCTGCACTCGGATGTTGTGCTCCATAGGCTCCTGGTGTTTCGCGGGATGGCGCCTTGGAATCGGGTGCGCGCTAGTGCGCGGGCCTGGCGCTCAGCTCTCTTGGGCTCCCTGATCAGTGTCGTTTCTAACATTAGCTAGACTCAGCGATACTTCAATCACCAATGGTACTACAGGGGTGGTGGCCAGCTTCATGTTCTAATGTGATGTTACATTTCTGCATTACATTTATACGGAAAAGGCTTACTTTAATGGTGCAGTTTTATTCGAATACTAGTAGCAAAATAATAATTGTGAAATCAAATTTAAGACTGCTTTTTACCGAAACTACGTGAACACAATTTAGAAATTAGAAAATTAGAAATATATAATTAGAAGGGTAGTACTTTCAGATCACCTTCCGAAATAGAGCAGGAGCAACCAAATGTTCTTATGTCTGATAAATAGATTTTTTTTTGGGGGGGGGTCATATGCTTTCAATAAAATAAAATAAAATAAAAATAGATAAATAAGTTAACAAATTTTCAAAATTAACCCATTTTCTCATGATCTGGAACTCTAACGTCAATTTTTCGTTTCGTTGGCTTTTACCAGGATGTAAATGAAATAAGAGTATTTAAGACAGAATTCTCGAAAGCTTAGACAGATAGCTTTTGAAGAATATTTCTTATGCAGGTGAGTGCATAGTACATTTAAGAGCGCATAGTTACTAATATGAAATTTACCACTCTAAATGTGTAGAAATGAAAATTAGAAAAGTTCATTTTTAATAAAATGTGCATTGGCTATTATTATCGAACATCTTTTTCATATAGACTGCAATAAAAAATGCTGGCTTCCGTTGTTTACATATATGGTAATGCTCATATTTGATCCAACTTCGCACTGAAAACTTTCACAAGAAATCCACGATGCTTTGATTATTTTGTACAGGAAATCGCGTGGCAAAACATTTTCAACCAACTTGATTAAAGCGTGGCAAAGTACACGTGAAAAGAGAGAAATATTACTGGTAGCTCATTGATCCCTTCTAGAAGCCAGGCCTTAGGTGGTGATACAGATGTGCACTTACGAAATATGATAACCGGTGTTAGTGAGTTGCGCACTTAGTAATTTTATTCAATTCTTGTTAGGCTGTTTGCATTTTATTCTGCAGCATCTAATTAATTTAAACTTTAAGTTCACTTTTCTATTAGCTGATATCCCCTAAACTTCAGAGATTTAAACTGTAAATACTAGTTATGTATTTGTTCAGCTTAAAGGTTTAAATAAAAAGGTTATTTGAACCTTCTTAGGACTCAACTGTTATTTACATAGACGGGGCGATAATTCGCCTGTCTATCTTATACTAGGGATTAAAAACTAATTACAGAATGAAACCCTACATGCTGACTTCCTTTATTAGGAGCTTCACTTACTTGCACCGCTTGTTGCTAAGCCACTAAAATAAAACTTGTTAATTTATTTAAGTTTTTAAAATTTTCATTGATTTAGTTAAGGATATTCTGAAACAGCCCTTTTTTCTAATAGAAGCTTTCAAATGAAACAAAATAAACACGATGAAGCAACTAAGTAAGAATCGTCATAACATGAGTAAATTTTAAGGTCAGGCGTTTCGAATATTAGATAGAATCTCCTTCTGCTGCAATGAAGATGATGGAAAAGCAACGAATGGCCTGCATGAGAATAATAGAGGATTTCGAGTATGTTCTAAGTAAATGACAGAAAAGGAAGCGATTGGTATCATCTGTTGATCGAAAAGACAAAGAAAAGTAAAGAGTTCTTGAAAATCTAACGTTAAAGAGGGATCAAAATATTTTTCTGAATGCCAAACGACGTCTGAAAATCTAGTTCGTAAACACAAAACATTTTTTTTAATAGTTTTGGCTGCATACACACGCACATACACACAAAATCTCTTGTCGTTTTGTCCCGTGCGAGTTCTCGTGGTGCAATTAGTAGTACTTTCTGTTAACAAATCGGAAGATTCGAATTCCTAGGAAAGCATAGCTGCTTTTTTGGTTTCGATAAAAGTCTAATAGGTATACAAATTATGCGAGGAATACTAAAAGAAGCGAATTCACGTTGTTTATAGGCTTAGTGTTCTGTTTTTAATTTTAAGGCAAGTTTTTATGCATACAGAAATTGATTCGTTCTTTTATTTTAATTGAAATAGAGAATGGGCAGTGTATTTAGGCATTAAAATGACTTCATAGTGTAATTTTTGTGTTTCATATTTTATTTATCGCACGGACGTGTATTATTCTTAAGTTGTGAAAAATTGTATTTTAATTTAAAGAAATATAAATGTTTTTAAGTTTATGTTTGCATAATCTTGGTGAATTAAATTTAGATAAATAATAATAATAATAATAATAATAAAGTAGCTTGCATGCTTTACAATAAACGAGTGCTTTGTCTACAGGAAAACGGCAGCCCTATTAGTCCGATATTTAGACTATTGTCTCAATTCATCCGGTAGTTAAAAGTCTTCTGTAAATAAAAATTAGTTTCAAAAATATTATTTGTACATTTGTATTATTCTTTGCTATTTATTGTTTAACTGTGAATTCTGAACACACTATGAGCTCAAATAGGTATGTTCGATCTAGACCAGTTTGTTTATGGAACAAGGTATAGTGCTCGAGATCATTCACTCTATTTAATAATTTACTCTATCAATACTTTAGAAATACTTTAGAAATAGTTTCTGAAGATAAGAGATTAAGTAAAGCGAATTTCTATGGAGATTATTATGAAAAATAATAGATCAATATAATTTTTTTCAAAATGGAGATTTTAATCGTAGAATCTTATAGAATTCGCGTTCTTAAAACACTTTGTTATACATATATGTGTCAGAAGATATTGCAAATATGTAAGTATATCAAAGAAACAGGGCAATCTATAAAAGCATATGATTTGAGCATTAAATATTATTCTAGAAAGTTTTTGCATTCTTATGTTACCTTCAGAGGTGCCCTTTTCTAGTTAGCATTCCTACTGGATGTGTTGAAACTTTTGACTAACAAAGAAAACTATCTGCTTTCCAAGAAACTATCTAAAGAAAACTATCTGCTTTTTGACTAACAAACGAAACTATTTGCTTTGAAGATGTGGCCAGTAAAGCTGCCATCCCAGTTTTAAATCCAGCATATATTTTCTTTTTCATCTCAAGCATCTTTGGCCTCAGGTGATAAATTTTACAGATTATGACATACCTAACACTACTACCTAGGAGTCTAACTATTCGTGTATACAGCTTTGCTCGTAGTCCAGCTCCCATCCCGCTGCATTACCACTTGTAAGACATGTGCAACTTTGCGATTGAGGTATAGAATGACTCAAAGCTCATAGATATATTACTTTTCTCAGTCCTTCGTTGCAACTATTGCGTGTGTCCAATACTACTTGATTCTGCAAAATAAGACGGATGACCCCCAAATGGGGGTTGCAGGGGATAGCTAAGTGCAATATTTTGCACCTACTATTTTGTTCACATGCTTGAACACCCTTGAAAGTTTCGAGATCATTAGCATTGGGAAGTACGATGGCTTTCTTTGTTAGTGCCATGATCATGGTCTTACAATGAGTGGCCAGTATATTTAATTCATCGCGTTAAGCGTGATATTTAATAACAAAAATTTTAAACAAAACGAGGATTTTATACAAAAGTTACTAAACTAATAAAGTTATTTGAAAAGACTTTCTCTCAACAAGTTTTATATGAACAATTTTAGTAATACAAAACACATTTTTTTTTTTCAAAGAACATGGGATCTTGATCAAAGAACCGAAAGTTTCTTAGTTGTGGAGTGTCCTTCGGAAGATGATGTAGAAAGCAAATTTATGAATGCTGCCGAGAAATGTAGTGAAGCCATGAATCTTGTTATCAGAAAACGTGAAATACTGCTAATGGATTTAAAGAAAACTCTTGAAAGAAAGGTACTGTATTATTATTATAAGACCTCAGATGATGTTATAAGATAAAAAAAAAATATATGTACTCTGTCCCCAAAAGTCCTTCCCCGGCCTTTATTTTAGCAACCGTATGCTTTGGTTGGTTTATTTGATAATGGGAGAGCACTCAAGGGCTATTTACTTAAGGGGAGGGATGCCTTCGTGGAGGACGTTTTAAATGACAGTGGCTCGTATACACATTACGTATAGGGAAAACCACGAAAACGTTTATGCAGCTACCTTTTCCCCGATATTCGAACCGCAGACCGAATTGCCAGCGTTCAGCGACTTTACCACTCGCCCGGTGGCAAGCCTTAATTTATCAAGCATTGGTCGTAGACATATACTTCCAGTGACAAAAATGTTTTAAATTATGAAAAGATTCATGTGTTGGAATTTTTAGAGAAATTATTTTTGTAAAAAATATGATATCCAGCTTTTTATACGGACCTCCAATCCCTTAGAAAAGTTTTATATTCCTTATAAAAATGAAATGCAAAAAGTGCGACACCCGTATGATAAATTTGACCGTGATACTTGATATTAAAAATCGATATCATATTCATAAATTCAAGGGCCGCAAATATATTGAAGAGAGTAATGTTTAAATTGTAACTAACTAAAATATAAAATACTTTAGAAATAGTTTCTGAAGATAAGAGATTAAGTAAAGCGAATTTCTATGGAGATTATTATGAAAAATAATAGATAAATATAATTATTTTAAAAATGGAGATTTTAATCGTAGAATCTTATAGAATTCGTGTTCTAAAAACACTTTGTATTGGCACATAGCCAACTCGTAAAATTTGCATTAATTAAAAGTGAAAAACATTTGTAATTTAGTCAGTTTTCTATACGGTTACCAGATTATGAAGTATAAAAGCTATATGAAAATATTCATAACATACTTTTAAACTTTGAAACTTAAAAATTACTTGTGTGAAAGTTCTGTCAGAATACTGAATGTAATAAAGTTGTAAATTAATACTTTAAATGCCAATGTTTTGCCTTATTTCCATTTAACCCGCGGTATCCGATTTCACCGATACATTGGCGGCCGGAGATTTGTGTAGAATTTGAGAGAAGAATATAATTTTTAAATTATATATCATCACTCATAGTCTGAACGAAAAGTATATTATCGTTCACAAATTCTGTTGGTTGAATTAAAGCAAACGCAGGGAATGAAGGAAACGAAGACGCCGACTTCCTTGCGAAAGCTGCAGCTACTACTACTGATTTCGAAGATATCAAATTAAAATGGTTTAAGTCATACCTAAAAAAAAGAGGTGCACAAAAAAATCATATTTGGCAGAACAAATGAAACTCTATTCACCAAGGCAGGAGAATACATGAACTAATCAAAGTAATAAACGGGAAAAGATATCTCAGTAACTCCCGTTTAAATTAATTTATATCTGGACATGGGCCCTTCCCCATTTATTACTACGGCAGAAATATGTCTTCCTCATATTTAACTGTATTTTTGGCGAAAGAAGAAAACATGAAAAGTGCAAAAGAGGTAAAAGAGATGGTCAATAGATGGCAAGATCGAGAGCGTGAAAAGCCCCTGTAGGCTCATGGAAGTAGGTATCCTATCCATTCTTGAGGAGACAAAGAGAATGATCTTCAGTCATTAGCTCGATTTGTCTGCTTCGAGGCAGATCACTACTATGACCGTTAACGTCGCTCATTAAAACAAAAGTTTCAGGCATTTGCTCTATTAAACCGTCCAAGTACCTTTGATCAATGTGGACATTTGGAGGCAAATAAACAGAACAAACTGAAACCAGGGTCCTTATATTTATTTGGATGACAACAACTTGGAGGCTTGTAATTAAAGGAAATTAATTGCTCGGGTAGTCTGATGAGGCGAGGAGCTCTACTCCTCCGCAGGCACGTTCACCTACAAGATTGTCTTTCCTGAAAATTAAGAACCTTCTAAGTTTAGTTTTTTTTTTTTCTGGTTTCAGTAGAGTCTCCTGCAATGCCAAAATCACAGGATGATGCAAATTAATCAGGTCTTTGATGCTATAAAGAATTTGGTGGAAATCGCCATAATTCCAAGAAAAGAGGGTGGCTATTATGTGTGATTTTGTCTTTCCTGTGCTGCGTTTTGATTTTACGTGGAAGTAGGTTCTTCGGAATGTTACATTCCTCTTCCACCTCCATCTCTGAGTTAAGATGATCAGAGCTAATAGCTTGAAAAGAGCTGACTCTAATGTTTCTATGAGGTTTTGATATTTTCTCTTTTTCTTTGTTTTCATTAAGATGTTCTTTCGCTTTATTATATTCTCCTGTTACTATTGAGTGTTTTTGTTTCTGTGCTATATTTGGTTGTACATTTTGGATTGCCTGTTTATATTGTATGTTTATCGTCTGGGTGTCTATGGATTTGACCGATTTAACTGCGTTTGCGTAATATACTATTTGTTGAGAATGTGACTCTGTTACTAATTTTCTCGCCTCTGTATAAGGAATGTTTCAGGTTATTTTAATATTTTGCACCTCATTCTCGGACTTGCATTTTGGGCAAAGTCGACAGTGCTCTATTTTGCAATTAATACATAGTGGGATGGCACTGAAATTATCGCTGCCATGGCCTTCCTCAGAGCAACGTGCACATATGAGTTTGCCACGACTGGAGACCATCAATAGAGCAGCTACACCATCATTTCGACTTTCAGCTTTTGTATTCTATCTACCATCCGCTATCAGGGCATTTATTTGAAATAAAATTTTACAAAGTTACAATGGTTGTACTATATACATATGGCATACAGAAACAGATTATTCAGGTCTTGTGGTGTTTACATAGATGGCAATGTTTACAATAAAACTCATTAACATAGCATTTAGAGAATTGTTACATATGTGGAAAATTTATGTTCATAGATTTTTATATATTAATTTTGAAGAACAACCAAATTATATAATATAAAATATCATTGTACATTCCAAAGAATTTAGACATATATAATTTAGAAATAATTAAGCCAAATAAAAACAATGAGAAAAACAGTAAAAGCAGTAGAATACACATAAAATAAATTTTGAAAAAACGTAGACGAATAAATATTATGGATATGCTAGAAGTAAATAATAACAAATAAAAAAAATATTAAAAAATCTTATAGTTAATAATCTTCTAATTAATAACTTATACTAAGGAATATCTTATTTATGAAAAGAAGCATTAGGTAAGTATTATAATTAATATAAGAAAAGGAGTAATTATAAATTTATTGAAGAAAATATATTTAAGGTAAGTGCTAAGAGAAGGAGGTGAATAGATAGTAAATTGAAAAGTGAAAGACTTGGGAAAGATGATTAATATTGAACCACTGTTTTATAAATGTTGAAAATATTATAAAATAAAAACATTGTATTGAAAATATTATAATAAAAATGTTACAAATGTTGTTCGAGTGGGTAGAAGCGTTGGCGAAAACGTCGTAAGGGGTTAGGTATGTAAGGTCATATAGGGCAGCGCAAATACCCGGCCTTAATACTTTTTCGCAAATCAGGTGAACTGAAGGTCAGGATTACTTGTTTCGTATTTATCAACTGACCTTCTTTACTCATCTCGATCCGCCTTGCAGTATATACATTCTGATCGAACAGCTCTGAGACAATTTTCTTTTGTGAAAATAAGAAGATATCAATCTCAGATATAACGCCCCGACTGTAATTTAATGATTTGTGTTTTGACACATTAACGTTGACTTGCACAAGATTTACCAGTTAAAATGCAGGGTAGCCGATTGAACTTGAGAAAGTATTTCGATTAGAAGATCTTCAGAGCGCAGCCGTTTTACTGTCTTTGGCTCACCATTCCTCCTGGAGGTAGACTGGGAGGAATCCCGGCGTTCTGGCTAGATCAATACCTAAATAGATTCACTGAGGAAAAATTAATAGTCTTCACAGTGACTAGAACCATCGTCTATACAGTGGTAGGTTCAGTCTCGGTAGGGAGCTTATGATACAGTCTTGTCTGCCCCTTGATTGCGGGGCTAGATATTTAGAAATCGAAGACTGTCCCTGGGTGTTTGGCTGCCCTTGGTCAATACTGGGCGAAGGTTGATGTCTTTACCATGACTTTTTCCTCTTTGTGGTGGAAGTCTAGACGTTCACCTTTGACTCTTGTACTTAACGCAGACTGTGTGAAACGAAAGTGTCCCCCCCTGGGTTGACCCTAGGTTCTTCCTCCTTGGACGATTTCTAGCGGTTGGAGCATTTAACTGTGTATGAAAGCTTTGAGCTTGTCAGTCTGGGTGTCCTTTCCTCATAGCATACTGTATTTGATTCCCCAATAGTGCTTTATATATATTTTTAAATCAGAAGTGGTGGCATATTTTGAAGAACTCGAAACAAAATTACAAAAGGGTTTGTAAATTGAGACAAATTTAACAGGGCTCGTACGATCTCCTTAAAGCTCACCACTTCATAAAATTCTGGAAGATAATTTACGCCATTTTCAGGCTGACACATCATTCAGTGTAGTGAAGCAGAAGATGGCTCTCGTACATGCAAGCACAGAGGAATCCTTTCAGAAAATGATGAAAGAGCTTAATGGAACTCTAAGCAGAGTAGGAAAAAGCCATGAAGAGATTCAAGAATATGTCGATCACTGCGAAGATAAGGATAAGTAATATTTTATTCTGTCATATTTATATAGTTATTTAGGCATTCATAAAATTTCTAAGATTTTATAAATCTTTTTTTTATAGAATCCTTTTTTATAAATCTTTTTTGCGAAATTTAGGAGATTGTAATTAATACAGCAATTTAGTGATATAAACATAAAACAGTGGTGACCAATAGGAGCTCCATGGGGCACATTTGGCCCATAGATAGCTTTTTTAATGTCTCCTTCAAGCAACAAATAAGTTACAGTGAAACCCTTCGTAACGAGTAACTTTAAAATAGACTAGTAATTTTTTAAACGCAAATAAATATTGGTATTCAAAATCATTTATTTATCTGCGAACAACCATCCCGTGTTTTCTCATAATTTACACAACACTTCTTGAAGATTATCATCTCCAGTAAAGACAAAAATCGTCTGGTGGTCATCTTAGGAAGTTTTCAGTGTATTGTGTTTCTTTGAGAACTACTCTTATATGCGCCGTCAGGTCGCCAAATTTCTCGCCAAATATTTTTGGCGAGAAACTCCACGGTGCCACATCACTATCTAAATTTTTTGTCTACATTTCAAACTTTAAGTCTAAAATATCTCCAAAAACGCAGTTTTCGCTCGTACAAAAACCACGTTTTTAACACACAATTTAAGCTAAAAATCCGAAACAAAAACAAAAATATTAGTTAGCAAAAACGTGAAGTTTCTAACCAAAAATATTTGACAAAAATCCATGTACACAGCGATATGTTTTAAAGTAAAAAAAAAAAAATCTACGAATTGCACAATATAGGCAGCGAAGGAATCTACGAACTACGCACACCTCGCTTTAATAAATTAACATAACAACAATAAATTTCAAAGAATACCATGTACACAGCATTCTGTTTGAACTTAAAAAACATCTACGAATTGCACAATCTAGGTATTGCGCACAAATCAACAAAATAAACTAAAATAAATTACAAATAATTAAAAAAACAACAATACCAACAGAAATTCATAGTAAAAAACAATGAGCATAACATTCTACAAAATAAAAACAATAAAAGAAAAAGCACTTACAATAATAGATGTTTCTTCGGACAGCAGAACGTAACATGGCGCCACGTACTCTCTATGGTAATTTATACGACAGCCAGACTCGATATCCACAAAATTCATACTATGGTTCACAAATAAATGTTCAAAACCTTCTTTTCCTAAATCCTTGTAAGATTTCCAGCCATCCGAAAAAATAGTTGTACAAGGCTCAATCCACCCTTTAATAATAATAATTTACTTCTATCATGCACAGCCACTAAAAATAATCTCCCAGACTCTCTTGCAATCACCTCTTTCATTGCAACATAGGCCATTTCAAAACACGCACGACACGAACCATGGAGCAATTAAACCACTCCAGCAAAAGAGTTTTCAACGTCAAAAGGGTTGCCGTACAACACGTAATCGCGCGAAAAACCAGCGCAGAACACATATCGCCACATTTGGTGATCTTAGGGCGCATATAAGAGTTGAGTCCTTCTTTGTTATTTTATTACCTATTATGGATTTTCTCATGAGGGTATATTCTCATATTTTTTCCGATAATGTAGCGCATATTTTTTAGGTATTGTATCACCCAGAGCTTGCTTTCACAGTTTAAATCCAGCTAACAAATGGAAGATCGACGAGGTTCTTGTTCGAATTCCGAAGATAGCATATTTGATTTTCTCGTTTTCTCTTCGGAAAAGCGCAGTAGTCTGTACAATGGCTGCCAAATTAAAATTGGTAGACAACAATACGTAATCACTTGGATCTGATCGACGGAGTTTCATGCCTCAACCCAACTGACTTTAAGGAATTTATGTGCATTCTCTCCGTATCTGCTCTCGTAACGTAAGTAGGTTGTACGTCTGGCTACCAAGTGGAAAATCATAAGCTCGAATTTCGGCAAGGACACAGTTTATTTTTCTTTTTACTGTAAAATCTTTGTATCTTTGACTATTAAAGTAATATAATTTTAATATAACATTTTAATTTTAATATTAATTTTTAATCAAAAGTATATATATTCCCACTCTGACTCTGTTACTCGGCTCGGTGAGTTCAGTTTTTATTCTTATATATTGGTAAATTCGGCATTTTTTGCTTTAAAAATAATTGAATTATGTAGTTCTTATGTTCCGGTTAAGGGTTTTATGCCTTTAACTAATCTGCATGCAATAACTGTAGAATTATCAATAATTTAAGATAATTAGATAATTAGAAGGTTTTGAACATTTAATAAGATGTTTGAGTGCGGCTAAGCCTAACTTAGCAGCCATATTTCTTTACATTTGAAACTTAGCAGAATAGTGGATAAAGTCAATTTCTGCACATTCAGTGTCTTTTTGTCAAGTGAAACCTAAAGTAACCTTTAAGTTTTGTGCACTGAAAAATCTGCCTTCTTCCCCGCTGGCCGAAATGCTGTTTCTTCGTAGGAACTCTAATTTTAATTGTAAAAATTGTTTTTTAATTGTTTTAACTGTATTTTGTGTTTTATTTTTTCTATAGTTTTCAAATTTTAATGAAGATATTTTGATGTTTTATGTATTTTGCCTTGCCGCGAAGTAAGAACTAAATTAACTGAATGAGAAATATATCTCTAATGAAATTCGAGGAAATAAATTAATTGAAATGCAGCAAAGAATGTGTAATGTGTATAATTTAATAGGGCATACAACGAAGACATGAAGTGTCCGCATCAGATTTTTTAATAATATTAAAGTTGAAGACTTATTCTCACTGAATTCTTAAAAATCTTAATTTCATTGCTTTAGGTACAAAGATGACATATCAAATTATATTGCTTTCCTCGAGAATTCTAAAAAAGAGAAAGAAACTTTAGAATCTGAAGTTAAAAATATTGTTATTACTTTGGAATGCAAAAGGGAGGACGACGATAATATGCTAACGGATTTCAAGAACTGGCTAGATCAGCAGGTTTGATTTTAGTACCTCTTTTAAAATATCTTGAAAGTTTAGTAAATATGTAAACATTACAGAATTTCTCCAGTATAATAAATACATGCAAAATATTGCTTCAAAATTAAGAAACTAAGTTTTTTTCAGAATAATAAATCAGATTAAGAAGCAAATATGTAACTTTACGAATTTGAAATAAATACGTTTACTCTGAAATTAAGGAAATATTTCGATTCACTTCGTGTCAGTTTTACTCTTTCAGCACTGATAAACTTTCCAGTTACTACCTCCACACACATCTACCTCCTTCACACTGCTAATTTTCATGTGTTCAGCATAAAAAAACTAATGACTATATAATATTAAGCATATATTTAGCAGACAACTCTGCGAAGTATTTTCTTGCAAAAACAGCTGCATTTTTCAACACGTTCCATTTAAAATTTTGTAGCTAAATAAACTGAATTTACGTTTTTTTTTTTTTTTTTTTTTTTTTTTTTTTTTTTCTAAATACACATAGACGGAAACGAAATATAAAATTTCTTTCATAAATCATTACCTTTGAGGACCATGCAAATTCCGCAAAAACAATTTTAAATGCCTGATTTTTTTATTATTTATGTTCGATAAAATTATTTCCATCCTTATCTAGACGGCGTCAGCGAAATCCACGTCAGTTGTATGCGAAATCTATACTAGTTTGCAAAACTCAAGCAGTTTTTATGATTTTGACCGATATTCCGCAAAAAATCAACTGAGGCACATGAAATTTTTATTACAGAGGCACAATGTAGTACTTAAAATATGACGAAACTTAAGTAGCAAAAAATGAATAGGACGCATACAGTACCGAACGAACAGAAAGAGGCTTTATAAGCAGAATGGTGTTGGTACAAAAAACTGTCTGGCCAAGAGGGAGAACAAAAGATCAAAGAGCCTTATTAAGAGGTATGGCTTCCCTAACTGCAATGGTTGCGTTGCACCGTCTGTCGATACTCAGCATCAGATTATTGAAAATCCTGGGGTAAGAGTTCCCATTGTTCAAGGAGCATCTGTTTCCGTTGTCTGGTGTTCTTCGGAGAGTAGATCATGCCGCTAGTATACCACACAAGTTCAAAAGATTTAAATCAAGGCAGTATGTTGGCCAATCCATTCCGTTAATCTTTACTTTTAAGAAGTTCATCAACTGTATGAGACAGTATGTATGGCCGTGCATTGTCATTCATAAGAACAAATTCGGGACCAATGATACCCAAAAGAGATGCACGTAACTTCACCACAGTAACGGTCTCCGGTAAGTGGGCTTCCGTCGAAAATGTGGAGCTCCGTCTGTCCAATCATCATAATGCCTCTCCATACAAGTATGCCAGGACCACCTTAATGGTCTCTTTCCCAGATATTAACAGGACGAAAGATTGTCTCTATCTCTCTCTATATCAACTGGCACCGAGAATCTTTTACTAGACTGAAATGGCTCTCATCGGTAAAGAGGACATGATCCCCCATTGATTGAAGTGTCAAATGTTTGTGTTTTCTACACCACTGTAAATGCTGCCTCTGATGGGCTGTCAATGGTATGCAGCGTTCAGGATACCGGTCGAATAGGGCACTTTGGTGAAGTTGTCTGACCTTAGTATACCGGACTTCTATCGCCCGGTTGCCATGCCCAACTGCTGACTAATATTTCTCATTGTCTGATTTCGATCTCTTTCGCCTGCAGGGCGAAATATCGGTCATGAGTCACCGTTGTCTTCTTTGGCTGATAACACCAATCTTTAAATCTTGCAGCTATACTTGCTGTCTGTGAGGCTTCCCAAGCTCGGGAAAAAACGCTTTTATCAATTCTAAACTCTTGGGTGAAAGACATCAGACAGCGCCTCTTTCCAAGCGTGCCAATTATTCTGCCATGTGTAAAAACATTTTGATGTTTTCTTGTAGCCTTGCTGTACGTGCAATCTTACTTTCACTTGTAGAAATATGCCTAGAAATGAGTCTTCCTTTTTCCATTTTAATTTGTCTTGCGCTGCGCGCTCTAACTTCTCGCGTTTTGTGACGTACCTTCTGACGTCATCGCAGTTATATTTGCATATCCAACAGTTTTTGATTTAGCCTTTCTTTTTACCGACGGCAAAAAGCCTTTCTCAACGATTTCATAGTTGTCTACTGAAAAATGAATTTGTTGCTTTAATTCTCTACACTAGTATATTAGAGAGAGGCGCGCTGCGCAGCAACACTACAGGTCCTGGGTCCGATCCACGGGCTCGGCATGGTTGTCTCATGATTTCATCCCTTGAGTGGGTCGATAAAATGAGTTACAAGTTCGCTTGAGGCCTAAAGGCCTGGGGTCTCTCGACAAGCTGATTACTTGTCCAGGGCATATGCCCATGTAGCCCGGGGCATACGGTTGGGAAAGCAGATATCGAGCCAATGCAGGCCACGGCCCACTAGGGCTGTTGCGCCACTTAGTTTAGCTTTTTAGCATATTAGAGAAGGCAGGAAATTATGTGGAAGAGGAACACTGCCTTAAAATCTGGAGCATTTGATGTTCTTAAAAATTTTCAAATGATTTCAGGAACTTCTAATATAAAAATAATTTTGAAAACGTTTCCTGCTCAGTACCGAAAATTGCCTGCAGTAGTGCTTTAATTGTAAACCGAGAATAGTTATTAAAGTTTTAAGAAATGGTAATAGATTTCCATAAACAAGTGTTAAATCATGAAAACTAGTTTTTAGTAAAAGCAGTTTACTGAAATCGATTGATAGAAGAGGTAGGTACTGCTGATTATGAAAAATATGTGGAATTAGGGACAACAGAAGATTGTTGAATGGTGATAAAAGTGTATAGACAAGTGTTCTTTTATCATGGATTACACTGCAAGTTCCTTTTTTAGTTATTATGATACATAACATATCATGTAATGAAGAAACTATGGGGAAGTATCCATGGCAGTTTGCAGAATTTGAAGAATGGTGAACATGAGTTGTAGAGATTTATTTGTCTAAAGTTTTGTTTCCTGACTAAAAAACATTTTCAGGAAATTGATTGGCATTCAAAATGTACACAGTGTCGATTCTACAAAATAACCCCAGAAGCAGATTATTATATAGAGACGTAAAGATAAAAAGATGTCATCATAATGGAGTTGTGTTGAAGCAGAAAGAACAGAATACTGTGCTTGCCATATCCATACATTCTAAGACCACGATGTTTTACTGAATACAGCACGTAAAGGAAATCATTATTAATGGTGCCATGGATATTCCAACGCGACTAGCGAGCAGTGAGCTTATGTTTTGCTCATTAATAAAGCAGATTCTGTTATCTGATGTTTTATATATTTAGAAAAACGGCAACATCCGTAGCATGAAATCTCTCCTTGACTAATCCTTGCAGTTATCATTATAGAGATTCTGATGTAATTGTGAGAAATAAAAATAATACATGAATAGATCTGCTAATCTTGGAAAAAGGAACCGCGAGTCTTCAATACTATTGTTGTCGAAAGCTAATCAACAAGTAAGGAAATTTTGAGCTGTTGTAGGAAATTCATCCATCCAATCTTGTTGATAGTAGCATCTGTTATCACCGTTTAACTTGTGTGGATGACCCACTGTACAACGGCTGAACAGAGAAAATGATCTGGCCATGTTTTCTTCTTTGACTTAAATTCCATAAACATAAATAAGATGGCCCAAGAATACACACTGCTGATAACAGTCCTGCCGATGAATACTAAAATTGATATAGTTATGGAACTGAGATAAGAATGGCGGAATATCACTCAATATTTTCTCAACAGTGTTATTAAAATGTTGGAAAGACTGAAGCATGACTGTTATTTTGATTACATAGGGCTTCCAAATACGTATAATTAAATACTTACTCAAACTTTTCATATAAATGTTGAGATTGTACAATTTCCTTTAATTCAAATACATTTCACACACATTCAACAAGGGTATCATTTCTTACCTGAGTAATACTTAAATGCAATTAAATTCCCTGAAATGTCAGAATTAATATTACAAACTTTATCATTTATCTTCTTCTTTATGCTTGCAGTTCTTGCAGCAGAAGTAATATAAATACATCCTAGATCCTCCCTTTAAAAAAGGCTATAAGATTTTAAATCAGTCTTCCTATATTTCAGATCGTATTTCTCTAAATTTCTCATTCATAAAATTTTCATTTCATAAAATACGTTTTCTTTGAGGAATTCATTGACTATATTAATTTCTAAACAAACTCAAGAACGTATCTCAGCAGGTACATAAATAAAATGATAATGGAGTGGTGGTATACCTTGCTACCAAAAAAAAAAAAAAAAAAAAAAAAAAAGAAAAAGAACAGTTCTATATCTTCCTTTTTACTGGACCAATTTACTGGAAATTTAACTTGCGTTTTCCATGTCTCAAAAGTGCGACTTAGGATATATATTAGATTTATATTTAGCATTGTTCTTACATAGGTATTTTGACACAAAGTCTGACCTTTTCGGAAATGACATGCCAATTTTTTTCCATATTTCGATTCTACAACTCAAATTATGCCAAAGTGCCACGTTTTGTAAAAATCGAAGTGTAGTGTTTAAAAAATTAGCTCTCAAAATTTTAGCTCCTCTATGTTAATATAATTATGTATATATTTATTAATAGCTCTTTTTTTATTAAACTTATTTGATTCTTCCTTTCATATTTCAGAATTTAGGTTTATCCCAAATAAAATTGGCCTATTTTTTATGATTTATTTTTAAGTTTCTATTTTTAAATAATTTTTATATATTTTTCGAAAATTTACTATAATCTATATAAACTTTTTATCATCATCTTAAAATAGATATATTTCTAAGCATACCTGCCAAAAAATAGAGTTTTTATTCAAAATTCCCTAAGATATAATACGTAAATTTGCATATTGGCGTGTTTTGGAATTTTGCATATTTGTTATAAGCAATAATAACGCCAAATGTGGTTAACGCACTTTGTTAAAATTATTTGAAAGTATGAACGATGACCTTTTTTCCGCTCGTGTACAATAAAAAAAAAACGAAAGGAAAATAAGTTGCTATAAATGAAGAAGTTGGTCAAGTAAATTATTCTTGCCGCAAACTAAAACAAATGCGCCAAGATAAAGTTTTTTAAATTTCTCCATAAATTTCACACCAAAAATTACAAAATTTAATATCAAGGCATAATTTAAATCGCAGAATCAAAATATGGAAAAATTGGTATGTTATTTCAGAAAAAGTCCGATTTCGTGTCAAAATACCTATGTTAGAATAATGCTATATATAAATCTAACACATATCCTAAGATGCGATATCGCGACATGGAAAACGCAGGCTAAATTTCGACAATCGGTCAAGTAGAACCGGAGCCATAGAATGTCCCTTTTTCTTTTTTTAATACAAGGTGTATCTTAAGATTTGCTACATTAATCGTATTGGCTGCGTAAGAACTGCAGAAACTACAGTAGATTATTAGCAAGATAAATTAGTAATCATGCATTGTTTGTATTGAAAGAATAATGAATTTAAAGAAAACTTATGGATGTAGGCTTCATGTCTTTAAAACGGATAGGCAATGTCCCAAAATCTAGTTAGTTGCAATATTTTAGGAGTTATCTCTTGTTCAGGGTTTCATAGCATTTTATATTCTTAGTCAGTCTGACAAATTTTAAAGAAGAAATTAGGTTCTCCTTTTCATTTATTTAATTTTTTTTTATGCATTTTAGGTTCTAGGATATTCATCATGGTCTAAGGATTTCTTAAACGTTTTTCAGTCGCAACCCTTTTTTATCACCGAGATTTTTTCGCGACCCCCAGAAACCCATAATATTTACAAAAAATTTTTGGGACCCTATAAATATTGCGCAAATTCGACACACGCGTGAGTGAAACTGTCAATATTTTCACTTGTACTGTAATATACTATTGCAGTTTTAGGTCATTAACTTTAATTTCTAATTTTAAGACATAAAACAACGTGAAAATTTTAAGTAAGTTACAGCGAAATGACAGCGTCACGTCAAAGCAAGGAAAATGACGTTTATATTATAAAAAGAATGCCGTCGCACGTTCGTTTTTTTTTTGTCTTATTGTCTTATCTTTATCTATTTTCAGACGCATTGTGTAAAAATATCTTGTAATTGTAAAATTATTGTAATAAGTTAAAGAAATATCAAAACTGCTAAAATTTTTGGCGACCCTTGCTGCAGGTCCAGCGACCCCCTTGGGGGGTCGCGACTTACAGTTTAAGAAACCCTGGTGTACCGCAAGATCATACGATCAGTAGAATCATTGTTTAATTATCACCTTGAGATCAAGATGCAGTGATGACAGAGAGGTTGCTAACAGTTCATATGCTCTCACAATGGTCGTGAAGTTTGGAAGTCGACATTTATGGGGTAAATCTATGAAACGGAGACATTGCAGGGACAATTAATACTTTCATAGTATAAAAAAAATGATGTCAGCCTTTAAATTGACATTGAGGTGAACCTGTAGTGTTCCTCCCTTTTAACTATTAACTCAGAGTTGAGAAACTTATTGAATTACTAAGCGAATAATCATTTAAGTCCAGAAACAGAAACGTAACACTCAAGAAGGATTAATTACCCTTTATTGCTCAAACAAAAGGTTACAGACTGTCCCTTTCTCATGAATAGATTGAACAAAGCCTTCACTTGGGCTTAAACTCAAAAATATACGAAATAAGAACTTAACTAATGACTAATTAAAGAGATTTAGCCGAAGCTAACACAGTTCTAAACTATGTGGCCCCTAAATATCGAATTTTCTAGCGAAGCTATCAAGGGAACGTAATACGGCTGAGTGTAGTAACAGCTTAGAGAGAGATAGTCAAAAGGCAAACGCGCGCTATTCAGAAATTCTGATTCTCTCTCTCGAAGTCAGTGGAATTTCGACTTAAATACCATTCCTTCTCATTTGCATTGAACGCGATTCTAAAAACTCATTCTGGTAAGGTATTTGTAAGCTGAAGCCAGGAAAGAAAGGAAAGGTATATAAACTTAAAAATAACTGTTGGAAACTTAGGTTCACAAAAAGATTCTTATCTTTATGAGGATTGGCGCAGCGATATTAGTTTTGGATCGAAAGATATGATCATACAAAACCTTACAGTATATTATTTTTATTACAAACATTTTGGATTATAACTTGGGACATAGTGTATTTTTAGTAGATTAACACTTTTATAGATTTAGCTTATAGTAATGTACAATTATTCTTTGCTTGAATCAGAGCGCTTATAACTCGTCTTAAACTTTGCTAATGTTTGATACCAAAATTTAAATCAGTTTTATTTCGAAACAGATTGAAGAACTGATCGAAAGGTTGAAAGAATATCTGCAGCAGTGCTCCAACCGAAGCATAGAATTGATGGAAAAGAAGAAAGCTGAACTTAAGAACATACTTCAAGATATACAGCTTTTGAAAAAAGTCGGGTGACAATTTCAATTTCCTCGTATTTGAAATGCGGAATTTATGCAACAGATCTTCTTTTTTTTTTCGCCCGTCATCGTAGTTTATATTTGTTTCCTTAAACATAAAAGTAGCTTTTTCTTGAGAGGGAAAAATAATTCAATTAACTGTAAAGAAACAGCTCGTTTAGATTTTTTTTTTTTTTTTTTTAATTGTTTTTTCCTTAGTTTGAAAACTATTTTTTCAGTATTATATAAAAGAATTAATGAAGTCATTTCATTGTTTAGAAAAATAAAAAAAAATTCTGAGCTTTTTCTTTCTTCTACATCAATTATCTCATGAAAATATTTTAACGCAGCCGATATAATCTTTGCAATCCGATTTTTATTAGTCTTTGTTACAGGATAAACTGTAATATTTGTAAAAGATTTGATAAAAATAATTAAGATAATTGTTTTTCTTATTTATTACACTTTTCTTAGTTATCTACTTAATTTGTGTGTTTTTAAACAATGAAAAACAACTAAACTCGGAACTATTAAGGAAATTATTGCATAAGAAACATTTAGGCATGTTAATGACTCGTATGCTACCAAAACATTTTAATTACTCTTCTATAGATTATTGATCTAGTTTTTAATTTCACGTTCCGCCAGCCAGGTGCCGGCTCTACGCGGTCAATCCACCCTCAGAACCAGGCCCAGGGGTTCAACCCCTGTCATTGCACCTTGAAGAAGACTGACACCAGTCGTCATATGGCAACGCTGATCGCCTGTTTGCTACCTACCAGTCGCTCGGGCTGCCCGTCGCTCAGGAGCATTACACAGCAAACCCGGGACGCTACCCCTAAGTTCTAGGACCTTCCAGACCCACCGGCCGACCAATAAATGATCTTTCCTGAACCTCCAAAATCACTAGGTTCGTAATTTGTATACACCAGTGGCCAAGATTGGTTTGGTACAGATCCTAGCCAGTAGCTTGACAGAGTTCTCTGCGTCGACCCCGGGGGGGGCGAAGAGACTGTTGATCTAATTATTTGCTTTAAAAGAACGAAGTGAAGCAGATGATTTTAAAACATTAACAAGTTACTTAATAAAAGATTGGGCAAATCAAGATCAAGACATTTACATTCCTTTTATAAATGTGTTTCTAATAGAAATGAACAATTTCTTTTTTTACAGTTACGTTAAGTTAGGTCTATTAAGTAAGGTAAAGCTCAGGAGGGTTATGTGATGAAGCAGAAGAATGCCTTTTCAGAAGACGTTCTAAGTGAGATTAGCTCGCATTCGCATTATTCCATGAGGAAAAACACGAAAACATCGATGTCGCCATCGAAACATCGATGGTTAAGTGCATTTGGAATTATTGGACTAACTTTCGTAGTTCCACAGGGCTTGAGACTAGAACACTATTGGTCGTATGATACGTTTTAAGAGAAATGTTCAAAACTCCCCCACCCAGCCTGTAAGGGGGGGATTATGAAGAAGAAACGAAAAAGGTGTTGAACTTTCTTGTTAATGAAAAGAAAAGCCACAGCATAAAATTTTAGTTACATTGTAGAGACATTAGTTTTTTTTTGGGGGGGGGGAAGCAGGCAAGATGAAAACTGAGCAGTCGCCTTCGACGAGAATCGAACCACGGACCTCTGGAATTGCTGCCCAGCGTGCGGAACCACAACACCACTAAGGCACGGTAGGACGGCGGGAGAAATACCTTATATACTCCCCCTTTTAAAGGGCGACTTGGGTTATTAGGAGACCCAATCGCCGAATCCTGGGGGAGGAGAATCATCATCCAACACCCTTTTAGTTCGGGTGCCACTGTAGAGACATTAGGATTTTTCTGGAAGCAGGAAAGATAAAAAATTAACAACACCTTCGCCGGGAATCGAACTACATACCTCTGGAATACCGGCCCAGCCTGCAGAACCACTACACCACGAAGACACGCTAGGAAGGCGGGAGAAATACCTTATAACATTTGAAATTTGAAAGTTATCGATTTGGCGAACAAAGTTTGTCCCTTTTGGCACCTAGCGCGGTGATCACTTTAGCAAGAAAGAGTGAAAACATTTTCTATAGCGAGGCGAACAAACCAAAAATAATTCCATTCTGATATGGCCAAAACTGCCTTCAAGTTTCACCATATAAAAGCATAAGACAGCATTTACAAGTGGTCTGATGGTGACTATTATTGCGATTAAAATGATGGGTTTACTTAAAATAACGAAAAAGAAAGCTTTGTTTAAATTTCATTTCCTTCTATTTATTTTCTTGCTGCACTTCAGTTCTCTCTAGAAGTTTAGTATTTAGTAGAATAGCTGAATAAAGAATCAGACAGGAGTTTAACATTTACGACTACTAGCAAGACAGTAGCTAGCAATTCTTCTCTACTATAACTGTCTATAAAAATGTAACTTATTTAACTTTCGACTGTTGATTTTAGAGCAAGTGAAAATTAAATTTTGTGTGGTGAGACTCCAGTTCCAGTCGGCTAATATTCTAGAACCCTAAACTAAGGTTAGATTAGAAAGTTCTGCACTTAGTAACCGATACTCTAGCCAGATGATGAGATTGCTTGTTAAAGTTGTTCTTCCATCGCCAAATAACTCGCTAATATTTTTATTTCCGATTTAGTTTGCAATTTTGTATAGATCATGCATGCACTTTGTATAGGTCGTGCGGTCTTGTTACCTATTTTCCGCCACTCAGGTAGTAACTAGCATTATGTCGCTCTGTTGGCATGGTGTAGGATGAGCAAATTGCCATAGCTTTGGCATCGGTTTCTTATCTTTGAGAAGGTAGGGTTGTATGTACCGTACATACTAGAGTAATGTCCGCAGTTTTTTTTAACCAAAATTTGAGGTAAAAATGAAAGATGCGGACATTACACGGATTGTTCAGAACATGGAATAGAAAATACTTATTTTCGCTCACTCAGGTGGTAACTAGTACTAGGTTGGTACGGTGTAGGGGGAGCAAATTGCCGTGGCCTTGGCCTTGGATTCGAATTTCGAAGAAGGTATAGATGTTTGTACCGTATACTCCAAAATGAAGGATGCATACGCTAAGCGGACTGTTTTTGGCCTTTGCAATGTACAAGTACTTTTCTTTAACACCAGAATAAAAAAAAAAAGAATACTTAGAAAAAATTGTCCAGTATTTTTTCATTAACACTCGAATCAGACTGCTTGCGGTACAGTCATTTTGTACTTGTCTCACTCAAAATTACTTAACTCACTGCAAAATTCTTCTTCCATTGCTTTCTTCTTAATAATCATTCAGTTTCCAAATGCAGTCATCTTCGGAGCCATCGACTGCGTTTGATGGTGAAAGTACTGTTTAGTGTGTATGACTGTACTGGTGTGATACTATGAGTTACATAAACCCATCCACCAAAGTTTTATCACATGGGATGGGAAAAATCGGTTTTTAATTGCCCTGAGGGCAAAAACCGCATGAAAAGCATCAATGAAATCAGTTTTTAATTTTCGTGAGACTGGCGCAAAACATGTTCAATATACTATCCACCGTTTTCTGCAACAAACCGGAATGGAGAAACAGTATGTTCCACAACTGGTCGAAGTGTCTCCAGGGTCACGTTCAGAATGTGCTGCTCAATGCATGCCTTCAATTTATCTAAGTTTGCAATCGGAGCACTGAACAGGTGACAGGTGAATGCAGGGCCCGGACACCCGTACTGCTTAATATGACAAATCGGGTGTCGTCCGGTACCCGCACCTATTTAGAACAACACAACCCTGGCGACTTCCTGAAAGGGCTCTATCGGGAATATATTAATGGAGAATATGTGGTATTGACGTGGCCAAACAAGGGCGTGTGCATATATATGCTTCAGTATACAATTAATAAAAAGTTTCATACATAGGTACATTTGTGGTATAGGTACATTGGATACATATATATATATTGATCTAAGTAGTTAATGAGATAGGCAAACAATAAACTCTTATACATTAAAAGAAATGAAGCACTGACGCAACTGGCGCAATAATGCAGAAGATGACAATTAATGAATACTGTAATAACTTACTTACATCTTCTTTATCGGTGGTTCTTGTGTTCTATTGGCCAAACAAAGACACTTTCCTTTAACTAAATCTATTTAATGAATAGAAGACTATGTACAAATATTATATACAAATTACAGAGTATCTAGTTTATGTCACTCTCAACCACTCTAATCAACCTCTGAACCCTCACTGCCGAAACTCTTAATTAGCTAAACATACGGGCGGCGCAGCGCCCTCTATCTCTTTTTTCTACATCACTCCCCACCTGTACTCTTTAATAAGAGTACACAAACTTACCTACATAACAATATCAACATTAATTAATAATGGATTAATACTAAATGGTATGACATATATAAATGAATAATATAAAAGAATAATCTATACTAGTATATATCAAAGCCACAAATGAACATAATAATTAATAATATAATAAAAACTCAATAATATCAAAAGTTCTAAATTAAATCTCGAAAGGATATAACATCTGGATCGATCTTTGAATTGTCCTTTGGGCGTGCGAACAGGCACGCTCGAACATGTCCATCTCTTCCTATAATCACGTTTTCAATTACACCATGTCCCAAAGTAGTTTGGATTGTTTTGGTCCTTCTACCAACACAACGTCTCCAGTCTTAAGGTTCCGCTCAGTTTTAGGATTAGCAAAGTTATGCGCACTTCTAAGATGGAGTAAATATTGCTTTCCACTTGATCCATGTTAATTTTAAGAGCTTAGATTGGTAAAAGCTTCCTCCTGGTTAAAGTCTTCTTTGTCGGATACCTTGTTAAAAATTTCCAAGAAATGCTCGGGAAAGTTAAATGTACCACGTCCTGGCAATAAAAACTGTGAAGTTGTGAGCGGGAGAGGTTCACCCAGCTCGTTGGTCTCATATGTTAGAGGTCTATTATTTAGCACACACTCGAGTTCATTTAATATTGTAGAGAGCTCTTCGAAAGTCAGTAATGCTCTCCCTAAGATTTTCTTCAGAGGTTCCTTGATGCTTCTCATTAAACGCTCCCAGAACCCTCCCCACCATGGGGAACGCTCAGGTATGAATTTCCATGTTACCTCTTTGGATGTCAAGAAATCACTTCACACTTGGATGTGCACTTGATTCTTTTAAATTCCTTTAATTATTTCACATGTGCTGCGGAAATTCTTGGCATTATCTGAATAAATCATTTTGCAGCTCCCTCTTCTTGCTAAAAAACGTGTAGTAATGAAAAGATGAAACTTTTTACTGACATATCTGAAACCACTTCAATGTGTACAGCACGAGTGACGGCGCATTTAAATAAGGCTATGTACACCTTTTGTGTTGATATCCGCT